CGAAACCCCGGCTAAATCACACCGTAAACAGGCCTTAATATGTAGCGGGAAAAACACCCAATCTGGCAACACCAGCTACCAGCGTCGTAGCCTACAGCCGCGTGCGTCATCAAAACAAAATGCAGCGTGGAAGCAACAGCAGCATGTAGGCGACTTAAAACAGGTTTATGACCAGGATGATGGCAACAAGTTTGCCCGCCGGCTTTCAGTAAAAAAATCCGCACTTCAGTAACCTTAAATTCCTACCTCAGCCTGGTCCCTCAGTTTGTGTTAGTAAAATGTTCTTGATCGGTCTTCAACGGGGGATCCGCGACCCCTAGGGGGTCTACGGAGGTACTGCATGAGCGTCTGCATGGTTAGTTGATATTTTTATATTCCCCCCCTGCATTTCTTTCCCCCCACTAATTGAAATGTCTTTAAATACTCATTAACATGAAATCAACACACTGTAGTAAACAGATAAATGGAGGCAGAAGATGTCTTTCAGTCATCAATGCTCACATTCAGCGACACACAGGAGCTCTTTCAAGCTGGGCACCGTTTCCTTCACAACACCTGTCCCATCAACCAGGAATCAGAATCAGAAAAACTTTTATAATCCCAGGGAGAAATTAATTTCTTTACATTACTCCATCTGTAATAGAGTGACTATAGGACACAATTTCATACAATATATATAAATAGGGGGTCCCCGCTCCATCTCGCCATCAGTTTGGGGGTCCTTGGTCTGGAAAAGAAGACCCCTGTTCTTGAGGGTTTTACTATCCATGTAACTTGTTTGTTAAACCTGCCTGGTATAATTTTCCAGGATTCCTTTTTAGTATGTATTGAAATGGAATTTCAAATGGAAAAAATTATAAAAAAAAAAAAAAAAAAAAAACATTTGCACCTTAAAGACTACTTTCCTATTTTTCTTTTAATAATTCCTCATAAAAAAGACCATTCAAGCCGCACATTTTTCCTGATGTTTTTGAGAATATACTGTAGGGTTGAAAGCTGCAGCTGCTACTAGTGTGAAGTGAATGGACAGCAACAAAGCATTAAAGCAACAATGGGGAAATGCTGTCCCCTCAATGCTAATGTAAACCCTGGTTGGATAAGGATTCAAAACTGGATATGAAGATGAAATCTGACGCACAGTTTCAGAGTTACAACTGATAAAATAATTGCTGTCTGTGGTTCTACAGTAGGCTATGGTGTAATTGAGCAATATATGAAAAAAAAAAAAAAAAAAAAAGAACTATGAACTAGTTCGTTTTTTGGAATTGTGAACTATGAACTGAACTAGTTCATTTTAAAATGTGTGAACTGAACTTTGAACTAGTTCACGTAGAAAGAGAACTTTCCCAACACTGTCCAAACTGCAGGTTCTGCTCCTCTTTGTCTTGTTAGATATGAGGGTAAAAGAGTTTATCTCTGAAAACAGTCATTCTTCACCTCAAAGTTTTTTTTTTTTTAAACAACCATTCGTCACATCAAGGCAAAGAAACAACATCCCCAGTCTCCAATATGTCCTAAAAGTGTCCATGTTTGCCGGCCTAATGGTTAATAGTAACGTTTAACTGTTAACAGCGTCCAGTCGCTTCCTCTGGACGCTTGTGGGTCACAGAACATGACAATGACTGAAACAAAGACTTTTCTTTCAATCACAACCTAATGCAAATAGCTGCTTATCTGAGAGTGAGATTTTTTTTTTTTTTACTAGGATTTTCTTCAGATCATCTATAGATGGAAAACTAATCCCTGTTTCACCAAAGTAAATATGCTTCATCCCTTCCTTTACTGCAGGTACTGTTATATCTACTGGTTTTAATCTCCTGACAAAGTCACTTCTAATCGGTTTTTTTGTTGCCTTTAAAACCTGCAGCATGATTATAAAAACATTAGTTTAGAAAGTTATGGAAAGACTGTTTATAGCAAAATGAGAGAACAATTTAAGAGGTGGTTAGTTTTCTGAAACTGGGATGGCGGCATACTTTTAATATCTGGGCTCAAAGATGGTATTAACCCAGATGTTTCTAATAACATTTCTCGTTTTGCCAAAAATAGTAAAAGAAAAAAATCTAAATAGATTTATTTTCAAACATCCAGTGTAGAGATCACTAACTGTGTGGTTAGATTGGTTTCTCCATGGAGATTTTTTTATAGAGATATATGTGTAGATATGTGATCATGTTTTGTATTTTTTGAAAAAAAAAAAAAAAAAAATGTATTCATATAAATAACGTATATTTTTTTAACTACTTTATCAGTCAGTTCATTGTTTACTTTCACAGCAAAAGGTTGTAATACAATCAGTACTCCCTATTTATAAGTGAAATAATTTATGGAAATAACAAATCTACTTTAATCTCTTAATTTAATAGTTTTTGTTGTTTTTTTCTGTCGTTCTGATTACCCCCGATATAATAATAATAAAAAATCTCCTAAAAATACATTTTATTTCTCCACTTTAAATTTTTTCATAAATACAAGGTGTAGTAATTGTACCTATTTTTTAGATAATTCTTTAATTTTATCCTATTATACTTATGATTGTCATTTATCTTATTATTTTTATTTTAATTAATGTTTATTTTCATAATTTAATTCATTATTATAATTTAGCTTTATAGTATCTTTTTATTCTTATCATTTTTTGTGTGTGTATTTGTAATTATTTAATGGGGCAATTAATTGTTTAATCATACATTTTATGCTTATTGTTATATTTAATTTCTGAATCATAAATGCATAAATGAATGTTACATCTACTTATTTTATTGTACATTTAAGTATTATATAACACTTTCGATAAGACTCTGGGACCACATCACAATGATTGTGAAGACCCTCTCCCACACGACCCCAAGTTGGGAACCTTTGCTTCCCAAACATTTCATTCTGTGACCCCAAAAAATATTGATGCAACCGATTGGCGAACCTTTGAAAATACATTTAAGTGCTTCACACACTCTGTATATAAAGGGAGGTAGTTATATTCCATTTTAGGTAAATTTAATTTAATTACTTTTCTTTCCACAAACCTCAGAGATTACATCTCAATGATTGTGAAAATTATCTAGTGACATCCCACTTTGTGTCTCCCCTCGGGGGGTCCCAACCCCAACTTTAAGGAACCTCAACATTTTCCCTGATTATAACATATTAAATGTATTAATCTTAGTTCCTGCGACTATTTAAAACAACCCTTGATTCCTTGTATCGTCTAAGACAGTTTTTCTGTTTATGTTGTTTTTATTCTGTGAGTCAATAAGAAAACTGGATAAACATGAAAAAACAAAAAGAAAACTGAAATAATCTACCATCCTGTCTCTGCTTTATAATCTCTGCTGATCTGTCTGTGAAGGCCCCAGCTAGCCAAACATCGTTAGAATATTTTTCATTTTTATTTATTTTTTACATTTTTTTAAGGACCCTTTGAAAATGAGCTGGTTTAATCTGGAGCCACTTATCCTTTGAAATTGAAGGTCATAGCTACAACTTTTTAATCAAATGCTTTCAAAAGTAAGTATGTGAATGTTTTGTTATGATCCCAACACCAAAGGATTGTGCATCAATAAGTAAGCTGAAGCCTGGTGACACAGAGCTCAGGCATCGATATTAGCTCTGTGATAGATGAGAAATTCTCTGTGTCAAAATGCTCATATGTAAGCCAAAAAAAAAGAAAAATCAGGCCAAGCATCTTTGGAACATTGGTGCTGACTTAGGGAGGCAAAGAGGCTCAGAAGCCCCACAGAGATTGATGCATTTCATCTAGACAAGGAGGTTAAAATACAGTAGTAGCCATTCCCCACTTTCCTTGATGGGCCCTTGGCTGGTTCCCGACAATTCCTTTTTAAACCTCAATCTTTGTATTAAAATATTCTTTCTGTCATGATTTGTGGACATTAAGATCTAAAGAGAAGCATAATCTCCTGGTCAGACGCTGTAATTCAGTAAAAGGGTGGAGTCAGAGTAAAAAAAAAAGAAAATGCAAGAGGACGTCACTCCAGTGGCTGGAAGTTGGAGGGGATTTCGCTGGGAGTTGGAGGGAAGAATGCTGCCATTCGGCTGGCGTTTACTGGGAAGGGCCATTTTGAATGGCTGCTACTGTATCTGCAAATGCTACCAGCATTAACCAATAGCATTAGTAAATTAACCCTGTAATGCCAAATGTATCATATTTGATACATACGGTTTCTGAAATGTTTTGCGTCTGACACCTTTTGCATAATTTAATGGTAAAAACTTTGCTTAAAATCCTATTGTACACAATCAGATATACCTGATAACAGAGGGCAGAAGACTACACAAAAAATGATCTTGACTTATCGCATAGTAATAAATTATTAATATCAAAAATGTATTTCTTTTTTTTTATTTTTACTTATTTTGTTAAAAGGCCAAATAAGGACTTCAAACCAAAAAAAAGTAATTTTCTGTTTTGTTTTATTCTTGGATCGGGCTTTAAAGGGTCAACATGAGGAAGGGATGCGAGTGCAGGGAAACTTAATGATCAGGAGACGATAAACTTGGAGCTGTTATGTTTAAGTAGTTAAAATTCACAGTCGTATATGTTTACATTTTATGGTGACGATACCCTCCTCCTTCAAAACATTGAGAACAAGCAGAAAAGATCGATGGGCTAAAGAGGTACTAGCCTATATCTCCTGTTTTAGTTCATCCTTTTTACTCCTTTCCTTAAATCATCCCTGCCTCCGGCTTATATTTGAATAATAGTTGTAACTGAGTATTGATAAAGACGTATGAAGATTTTAAAATACCACTTTTTTTTCATTAAACATATTAATTTCAAAAAAACTAAAAGTGTTTTGAAGTCCGTTAAAACCTGTCGGATGCTGTTCTGCATGTGTTACAGGACAGCTTATTGGAAAAGCAATGTAAATTATAAAAAGAAGTCCTGTCCCTCAGACTAAGCCTGTAGTAGAGGTCCCTAATCAGGATTCTTTCTGGGTGTCGTCACAGCGGGCCGGCAGGGGGGGGGGGGACAGACTGACCTGCTCTGAGAGTCGCCGTGTTCTCAGGAAGAACCCCAGAAGACAGCCGATGACTACAGCCAACACGGAGAGGATGAGGAGTCCGTTCTGCTTCAGGACATTCTTCACCCTCACCCACACTGCTTCTAAAGCCACCGCCATCATGAGCTGCTTGTCCCCTGGGCTTTTAGTAATCCATAAATGTGGTTCTTCTAAAGCGTTAAACTCCAGGTATGATGATGAAAGCGAACAAAAATATAAAGAGAAACTCAACAGCCAAAACAGAGAGGCTATGATGTTCTAACGCACCTTTGGGATCAGCATCCCTGTCATCCTGACGCCGTGTCCGTCTGCCCTGAGCAAAGAGGATCCTCTCACTTTCCAGGCATCCCCGCCCACCCTGCTCCACCCATCAGCAGCCCTGCGTGCACTCACCCGCTGCCTGGGGGAGGTAGGGAGGGAGGGAAGAGCTGGTAAACCCTGTCCTGATGGTTTGACATCCACAATCCTGTTAGAGTGCCGCTGTATCAAACAGGTCCGAAGCTGGATTAAAGAGCTGTGAGCGATTTGACAGAGTTTATCAGAGAAAACTAACATGCTGACTGGAGAATCCCTCATGTGCTGACTTACGCTTTTATAAGTAGCAAAGACAACATTCACTAAGATGTCCAATCACAAGCTGAATATCTAATATTGCACTGATTACAAGAAGCATATTGAGGAAGCATGCGTTGTATTTTGAACATTAGGGCTATAGTCCCTCACAAAAAACAGGCAATGTACCATCATGAAACAATGATTGTCAGATTGCCAAGGGTTTTAATCTCTTAGACATTGTCAGCATTCTGTTGGACTGCATCAAATTTTCACATCTATTAGAATCAAAGTTTTAGGTCAAATAAGAGCAAACCTTTCATGTGTGGTGGGATTCTTCACAATAGGTAAGCCACTGGAGTGGCCACTGAACAGGTTGCCGTTCCATTGCAGGGCAACACGGAAACAGAAAACCATGCACACACACACACACACACACCTATGGCCAACTTAGAGTCACTAGTCGACCTAACAGATGAGTGTTTGGATTGGGGCAGGAAGCAGGGGTACCCATAGAGATAAAAAAAAAGGAAAATTCTTTAGTACACAAGTTTCCCAATGAACAAAAATTGGTTGAAAAGACAACATGATTTTCGTCCAAAGGTTTACATTTGGTTGAAAAGTGAAAGATGAAAAGCAGCAATTTTCTGATCGATGAATAAACGAAACCTTCAAAGTCTTTTCAACGTCTATTATTGGACTAAAGTGGGACAAAATCAGACCGGCCGAACAAAGCCCAGTTTTCAACAATTATTTCTGGACTAAATCCAGACTATTACGGACCGACTAGGCGGAAGTTCACCTGAATTAAACGATTACTTACCTTTACCCGCCTCCGTCACAAGCCAATAAGTTTTTAACCAAACCTCCAAGAAAACCAATCAGCATCCATTGCCCATCTTAAATGGTCTTCAAATCCACATCTCAGTCTGCTACCCAAAGCCTTGGCAGTGGTTGCAAAATGGCAGACTTTGACTCAGATGACCCCAATTCAACCCACCTCCAGCCCCTTCGCCACCATCGTAGAGTCGTAGAGTCCTCCAGGACTCTTACTGCGTTCCATGTCTCATTTCAACCGGTCCGGCAGAAAACCGCCATGTTGAACCTGGTTCTGCCAGAGGTTTCTTCCCAAAGGGGAGTTTTTCCTCCACTGTTGCTTCATGCTTGCTCACCATGGACAGGTTCTCTCAACCCATGTTATCCAAACTGGACTCTCATCTTCAAGGTCCCAGAGCGAAGCACTAGTACCAGCTCATGCAGTCCACTGGAAGTCTCCATTCAGCTCAAGCACAACGTCTCACCAGCCAGCAGACATGGACCAACCAACTTCATCCATCTCCACTCCACCTCCAGTTGCAGGCCTGGGGGAAACATCCCTTTTATTTACTCCTGTTAATGCATATCACAGCAAAATAAATTCTAATGTTTCCTGCAGAGGTCTGAGCGCCAAAGACTTAAGTAATTGTATCAACAAGATTCTTCTAATCGTATTTCATTTTGTGTGAGTTTTTCAGATTGAACTTGCGTCTATCTGCTAATCCTAATAAGACTTGTGGAAGTCAAAGTGATATACTGTCAGGAGTTATTATGAATGATTGTTATTCTGCCTATTTATGCACAGCCTGCCTTTCTTACCTCTTGTGTTCCAGTGGTTGGCCCGTTCTCACTTGCCTCTCCTCAGCTTCATCATACTTAAAAGGTTCTGGTCTGAGGGTTTGAGTTTTCACATTACCTCGGGTTTGTGAAAGGCGTGGTTTCAAGCTTGTTATAACAAAGGAGTAACAGTGGAAAGAGCTTGGCAAACACTGTGAAAAAGGTTAGATATTTTTACACTAACTTTCACAAAAAAATACATAATTTCCAGGTGACAGGTACACATGTTGACAAAATTGTTGGTACTTAATAAAAGTAACAATGGTCAGAAAAATAACTTGAATTCTGACTAAATTAATAATAAATGAAAAACAATTTTGGGAAAATGAACAAACGAAAGTCTGACATTTCTTTAAACCATGCTTCAATTGTTTCAAAAATAAACATAACAGGCCTGGAGAAAAATAATTGTGCCCCTAGAAAAGAATGTCGCCAAACATGTTAAGTTAAATTGTGTCCTGGCCTGCCTGCCATTCTACTTTTAGAAATTCTAGGAACCACTAGTAAACCTGCAGATTGAGAGCGAAGTGCTCTGTTAGGAACATAAGGAACAATCGGATCTCTGATATCAGATGGAGCTTGGCCATTTGAGGCTTTATATGTGAGAAGGAGGATTTTAAATTCTATTCTGGATTTAACAGGAAGCCAATGAAGAGAAGCCAGGATAGGAGAGATATGATCTCTCTTTTTCATTTTCATCAGAACAAGAACTTGAACTTGGATAATGTCCCAAAACACACAGTTAAAAGAGCCTAAGTTGAAAACAATATTGTAAAGTGGCCTTCTATTAGCCGTGGCCTACATCCTTTTCACCTTCTTTGAAAGAAGCTGAAACATGTCGTCTGGAAAAGACACCCTTCAATCTGAGTCAAGTGGAGCAGTTTGCTCATGAGGAGTCTGAATATCCAAATTCAGACTGTCAGAAATACTCATAATTTAAGGTCAGCTGGAACCAGAACACATTAAACAACAGTGTGAATATAACAGCAGTCATAAAGATTATAGAGTAGATATACTTTTAGATGCATTTTAACAACATTCAGATGAAATATAAAAGTGAGTGAAAGGATTAGGCAGAATTTCTCTGTAGGTTTATTCGTGCCTTGGTCATTTATTTTTATAAATTATTGTCAGTAATTATGACATTTTCCGATTTTATGAGAGTTGGAGATAATTTAGGATATTTGTGTGTTCAGATTTTATTTGAGCACTGCTCTGGTCCTGCTCTCTGCTTCAAATGAAGCATTTAGCTGTGGCAGCTTTTTGTTGTCTTTTCAATAATGATATAAACAGGAAGTGGTTCTGGCCCTTATTCTATAATAGAAGTTGAGTGAAGGTGATAAAGATTAAGCTCTGACTTCATGCAAAGAATAAAACATACTGTACAGGTAATGTTTTTGTTGCATCATTCTTGTGAAATAGCTGTGATTACTTTGACTCTGAGTCTCTCTACAGATGACTCATTCTAAGAACTGATTTCAGACCTGCTTGTGCTTTTGAATTCAGATCAAAATACTTGTTTTACTTCGGGGTGTTGGATAGAAACACTGGTTCCAACTAATAAGGGTCATTATAGGGCTTTCAAGAGAAAACATTTCTCCCAGCGGTACTTTGTGACTGTTTGTTAAATGAACAAAAACTATTTAGTCCCTTTATATAGAGTCTTTGTTCTATTATTATTGCAAGCAAATAACACGTTTGTTTTTTTCAATTAAAATGTAAAACTCTGAAAATTTTAATTAATAAAAGGTAACTTTTTAGTTTGCTCAGATTTTGTTTTTATTTATTTTTTTTTTCAAATTACCTTTCATATTTAATTTTGTAAATAGTTTTTTTGTAGAGATTTTATATATTTTATATTGTAAGCATCAACATGTTTTTGGTGATCGTGAGTGTCTGTATTGGACTGGAAGAAGTAGCAGTAATACCTACTACCCTATCCTTTCTTTGCCTCTAACAATGGCAGCCATATTTGCTGTGATCAGTGGGTAAAAAAGCAGTTTTAATATGTTTTTAAGTGAGAAAGTCCACCTGAAAACTCCAGATCCAGATTACCATCTTGCTTTCAAATATTATTTCGCTGTGGGAGCTGCTCAGACCCCCACATACCGGCGGTGCGCTGTCACTGACCCAGTTGCCTCTTGGCGGTTTGCCACGGCGGCTGGAAGGTATTTTTCATGTACGTAATCCAAGGTGCAGGCACCAGGATAATAAAAGTGAACATGTTTTGCAGGCAGATTTCGCCATTTTAAGTTAATTTAGGCTTTAATAAACTCTTTCAGAGGAGTGATCATAGTAATCTGCATCAGCAGTGCTGTGTCTGTCTCCCTGCCAGCTCCCAGATCGGCTTCTCTGATTGGTTGATGTGGCATGTTGAACATTAAAAGTTAAATTTTTCCAACTCCAGCAGCAGCTGCATTTGTAGCGCATTCTGCGCAGAAGCTCACGATACGCTACTCCTGCTGCTGAAAATGCGCTACAGGACGTTTTGCTGCGCCTTGATGCACATCAACCATTGACTTTGCCTGTACACTAGCTGCTCCTGCTTCCTCTGCTGCTTTAGGTGTGAACATAGCATCAGATCCATATTCATAATTTGTGAATAATACTTGTACTTGTAGTTTTGCAAAGTTCTAATTTGTTATTTTTACTTATGGCTTCTAAACATGTATTCTCTCAGATGAAATTATGTCACATGTATGTATGGCTGACACCAAGGAACAAATGTAAATATCTTAAATGTGTTCACTTTTGTTGACTAACTTTTACAAAATCAAAACCCTTCATTTTAATTGTGCATGCTAATAAGTGCATTATTAGGGGTGTTCTTTGTGCATTCTTGAAAACGTTGTTAGAGAAAGGTTAAAGAATGTTTAGCACAGGGTTTTGCCAGATAAAATATACCCGAATGCACAGGATAACCATGGTGCAAAATACAGTCTCTTTTTGCATTAAACTTGCTCAGTTATCTGAGCTTTTTGGCATTTTCAATCTGTTTCTACAGTTCCTGCTTTGGTTTTTTTTTTATAATTTTTTATTTCTATTTTAAAAGATCAATTTTCTTTATCATCTGACCACCTTTAGATACACCCCTTCGAAGACCCAAACCAGA